GTCGTGGCGTTGGACTGCTAATTGATGTTCTCGTAAACGGAGCTGAAAATGTCGTCCACTTTGTACTATGTAGTGTTTTTCGCAGTTTGAGCAATTTATTTTGTAGATGATATTTGGTTTTTCTTCCCTGATCATTTTGTCCTTTGGTCTACATAGGATTGATTGAAGTGATTCTGTTGGTTTGTGCGCCACACCTATTCCAAATGGTTTCAGTAGTCGTGCTGTATGCTGCGATATGTCTTTGATGTATGGTAGGATGATGTGTTTATTTGTTTTTGTGCTTGATTTCGCTTCTGATGATTGTTTCGGTTGATGTTTTTTGATGCAGTTGCGTGGATAGCCGTTCTTTTGGAAGATAGTCATCGAGGTTATCAGAACAAGCTACAGGTCAAACGTGGAGAAATTCGAATGCTTCACTTCTATCTGAAGTTTATGCTGATGATGTTGTTCAGCAGAAGAACAATGAAAGCTCCACAACCAAAACAACCAGCTCAGAGAACAAAACACCACCACAATCATCCACCTGAGCTACAAGTTTTCTCGACCAGCCTAAATTTCTACTACATAAATATTCTAGTTTATAATCATATCATAATCAAGCCTGTTTTGACAATTGAGACATTGAAAGATTGATTATCTATCTAACATAAAAACAAGTGCATACATACTGTGAAATTCATATTGATTTTCGACGATTTTCAAAAATGTCTGTTTAACATCGGCAAAGTCACCTTCTTTTTCTTCTTCTTCTTCTATGGAATTAAATTGAAGTCAATAGACACAACACAGTTGCATACCTGATTATGATAAAAATTCTCATATTGTGAATTCAATTAGATCCTCATCAGGCATCGTCATTAAATATATTAATATATATAAATGCACGTAAATATTATTGTGTATTAGTATAAAACAATGAAATATTGTTTCAGCTAAGAGTCCTCTTCTTTGGCAAATCCATTTTCAAAGCTTGACAATCATAAATATATGCCTCTATTTTTCCTCATAAAAAACTAAATTTCCGATTATACAGCTTTAAAAATGATTTCGCCAAAGTGAGAGAACTCTTCGTTGAACCAATCATCGTGTTTTATATATTTCAATGGAAATAGATTAGAATATGGCCTGTTGTAAATCTAATGAGAAATTATACTCTCCACTTATCATTTGTGTGTTGTTCTAATATACTTTATTTAAATTAAAAAAAAACAAGAACGACTAACCATTACATCTTTGAAATCTCTTGAAATTATTGTATTTTGGGTTGTTGTCACCATTTTAACTTATTTCAAACTACCGAAATAACGATGTGAATTGATCAGACTCCAAATTTCACTACTTATCTATTGATAGCATATACTGAATAGGTTATTGGTTAATAGAATAGCACTGAAAAGTATTTTCAGTTCAATAGAAAATAAATCACGTAATAATTACAAAAAGAACCGAGAACAAAATATATTCAAATCGATTTTAATCATTGCATTTTACAATAGTTACAAGTTGTTTCATGTTTATTATTAGCGTAACTCGCGAATATGAATAATGAACGTTTTGATTGTATGTACTCAGTGCACTAATCTCATGCATTTAATTTGAGCAGCATGCATTTTCAAACTCAATTCATAGACTGTTTTTTTTTTAGTTAAACAACTATTGAAAACTGGATACCGACTGAACAGACTAAAGTTTATGCACCCACTGAAAAACCCCCTAAAGATCTTAGATTCAAGTCCCTGGTAAAGTCTTAAATGCATACAGATAATGATTTATATGCTAGAACTCAACACTTGTACTCCTGAACTTCTTTGGTTACCTAACTATTATGAGTGTACTATTTAAACAGTGAAATTCAACAATCTTCGCAAACTGACTGTAAAACGATTTATGATGAAATTAGCTCTTGATTTGTTAAAATATTAAAGATGCCCATTGTGAGAATTAGAACAATACATACAACCGAACAATATTGTTTCAATTAGATCATCATTAGGTTTTACTCTCCTACTTATAGCAGAAGCCGTAGAAATTCGTACATTCAACGCCAATTTATGTGTTCAGAAGAAATTTGTGACACCCCTATACCTTCCGTTGCCGGATATAACTTACCCGTTTTAAGAAATTTTTGTATTTTTATTTTCGTTTCATTATTATTAGCAATTTTCTGCCACTTCTCGTCTATATTCTTGACTATCTAATTATTCACACACTTCTTATTACGTAATGGTTTTATTTTCGGGCAGAGTTTTGGAGGTTTGTGTTGTTACACATTTGAAACCATCAATCAGTCATTGTTACACCACCATTAGAAACCTGGAGTCACTGAACGGCCGTTTCGTCCTGGTATGGAACTCATCAGCAGTGCGCATCCACGACTCCTGCACCTCGCAGGATTTGAACCTGGGACCCTCGGTATTGTGCGCGAACGCCTAACCATCGGACCACTGGACCGGCATCCAATGGTGTTTAATGTCTAACTCTGATTGATCTAGGGATTTTGCGCGACCTCACCCATTTGTCTTTGGTAGTTACTGCCTACATCCGACAAGGTTGAACTCTATTGGTCACGTCTTCTCAACTAGATCTCCGAGAATTTCCTCACTAGTGAGCACTGTTACGATCGGGCAGAGTTTTGGAGGTTTATGTTTTTACACATACGAAATAATCAATCAATCATTATAATGGTTTTAATGTTTTGTAATGATTATTTCAAGTCTATTTATCCAAGTTTGACCTACTATTGATGAAACTTTTGTTATCGTATTTTATTATTCTTACTACTATCAGTGCACCTGTCTTCCTACTATTATCAACTGGTACTGTTGCCTATTATGTGTAGTGACATAATCTATTTCTATTCATAGTCATTATTGACTCAAACTGCTTTGATTGGTTTAACATTTTCATATAAATATATTCATGTATATTAGAGAGTGAAGCCTGATGACGATCTAATTGAAAACAATAATATTGTTCGCTTATATGTGTTTTTCATTTGGTAATAAGTTCCTTTAGCGCACACAATATTCCTTTTCATGAATTCAGCTTGATTGCTTACGATATCTAGATAGAGCATTCAAATTGACTGATCCAAAATTATGCAAGCAAACTAGTCGCTTAGTATTTTGCATCATAGTGCTATTAGCCATGTTGCATATATATCCCTTAAATTTGTCATTCCCTACTAGCAATTATTACCAACAACCATTTACTTTTTAAAAGCAAAAGACTCATGCTCATTAAATCGATGTTTGTCCTGGTTTTGCAACATCAATATAAACAGATATGAATTTTTTTAAATGCATAATTGCACGCTAGAATAGAATAATCGGCTAATTACGATTGTTTTAAATTGTACATTGTGAAATTCATTTTACATGTATTCTTGAATTTCTGGACTATTTTTGACCGGTATAGCTCCCTGCAAACAACGTCGTCTGACATTACTTTTGACCCAGACCTTGTCTCATATTCTCACTGTTCCATTCGCTATTTGCTTTTTACCGAGTAAAAAATATTTTCTCATAAAATTAAAAAGTATATCTAACAGAGATAGTTCAAATGTTTAGTTTTAATTTATTTGCTGGAAAATGTCGTAGGTTTTGTTGGTTGGTCTGTTTTCTTTGAGTTGGTTTCCACCGTAACTAGTATATTCACAAATATTTTGATGTTCGTTGATACTACTATGTATAATAAAAGTAGTCAAGTACGTTTAGTATAAATAAAGTTGAGCTCGAAATTATTTCTTTTCAGTCAGTCAGTAATCCGACCAAAAATTTTAGCTTTTTCGATGAAAGTTATCTGTATACAACTATTATAGTGCTGGACAAACGTTTCATCCGTAACGTAATTCCTAAACAGTGATTACCTACCTTAAACTATTACATCCGACTAAAAATATTTAATTTTTGAAATTACCTAAATTTACCTTTTTATTTCACTCCAGAAATAATCTCGAATTTATGTGTAAACTCATTCTGGGAATTCGTTCCTGTAAAAACAGCCAACATAAATCGCTCAATTTATGTAATTATTTCTCACTTCTATTCGACTTCCCACTCTTCGGCTATATGCCCGACTGAGATTTCATTAAACCTCTTCGCTCTAGCAGTGTATATATACCCATTTGAATAGTAAATAGTTTGTCGAATGAATTCATTTGTTACTACAGTTATTCTGTAGTGAATCCTCTGTAGGAAAAATAAATATTCACTGATGTCTGCATACAAAAACATATATATATATATATATATAATCTCAATGTGGAACCACATTTTCTAAAACGTATTTTTGCATTTTAGACATCAAAGCGACACATTACCGATCCTGTTACAAACTACGTTTTCATTAAAACAGTTAGGGGCTTACTGTACTTACGTTATGTCTAATGTTATATAATCGTGAAAAATGCCCAACGAAAATCAAAGGATCTTAAAAATGAACCAGTGGTATAAATTTCTATGAAAGTTCCACTCAGTGAAAGAACGTAATACTAACGCGAAGACTTCTTCATTAAAGAGTTATGGAGATTGTTTTTTTTACATTGAAATCGACAACCAGCAGTGCGCATCCAGGACCCTCGCTCGCTGAAATCAAACACAAAACCTTCGACCTCTAGACCACTGAACCGGCATCCAGAGGTGTTAATGCTTAACTTTGATCAATCTAAGGTACTGAGCAACATCACCCATTGTCTTCGGTAGTAACTACCTACGCGCGACCGAGTTGAAACTTCACTAATCAAGGCTTCTCACCAAAACTCAAGAGTTTCCTCACGAAGCTAGTCAGTGGTGAGCACTGCTATTGAGTCCTATATATTAGGACGAGACCACCATTCGGTGCTCCCAAGTTTCTAATGGTAGTCTAACAATGATCAAGTCATGATTTCAAATGAATAACGACAACTTCCATATCGATATAATCAATAAAATAGTATGTGAACAATGTAAAAGAAATTCTTTATTAACCAAGTCTAATCCACTATTTCTAAAAGATTAACTTTTTTCTATATCATAAAATGTCTTTCACTATTGAGTATAACAATGTAGTTGTGTGTCTGCCATTTTTTTTTGATTTGATAAAACCATTCGATGTATTCCTTTCTCTATCTAACTAATGATTTCCTTGTTTGTCAGAAGTCCATGTTTTTATCTCTAGTACTTGATAGATGGATGTAAAAGTATTTTTATTTTTATGTCTAACGTTATTTTATTTGATCAGTAATTCACTCTATCGGTATTATCATTGTAAAAATTTTATAAATAATCGAGCATACGCTACTTATGTTCACATAAGTAGTATATATGACATCAAACGGAAATCAAACGTCTGACAGCAAAAGATCGAGAAGGAAAGAATGAGAATAGAAGGCGATTTGTAGATAACGTAAGGTGAACTGAAGTCTGAACAGTCTAAATGAAAGAACACTGAAATCTGAAGGTTTTGTAAATATGCCTAACAATTCTGTAATATTCGCTTAAATATATTGTTGATGTCCTCACCTGGGTTTTCGTGCACAACAATGCTTATATATATATATATATATATATATATATATATATATATATATATATATATATATATATATATATATATATATATATATGTATATATATATCATGAGTATTGAAGTGAGATAATTATGAAATAGTTTACACCTAATCATACATTTCTTCGTTTTTAATGTGGTTTCAAGTTACTAACAAAAATACTAGTTAACATTTCATTTTTTGCTACTACAAGAATAGTCTATTTTCATTAGTGATCAATTTTATGTATGAAATTATATGTTACTTCAAATTTTACCATTTTAAGAAGATGACTTAAACGTTACTATCGTGATGAGCTGCACTATACCAATCTTATTATGTTTCAAACATTTTCTGTAAAACTATATCACTCATTAGCCAATGGTTGAGTGTGTTTTATGATTGCTCAAACTGTTTTCGACTTATTGTTTACTACTGGTTCAATATTCATCGGTCGATCGATCGATTGATTGACTGACTGATTGACAGCAAGATGATACATGGACTGACTATTGATGAGTTTTTAATCTTTCATATTTCGTTCAATTTTTTTTATTGTTTCAGCTAATCTGCAGGGTAGTGAAAGTTCCAATGGTTCAAGTGAAATAAATCAGAGCTCTGAAAATCTGCTGAATTTAACAAATCATGTAGCATTAAATCATCGTGCCAATAAAAGTCAACAGCATGAGGACATGCAACAACAATTCGATCAATTTCAAAATGAAATGAAACAACAATTACGTGATCTTCGTCATGAATGTGATCTGTTGAAAGTAATCGCATTGTTGTTTGTGCTTTTTTTCTGTAAAAGAAAATTAATTTTTTTTATTGGTTAAAGATTGATATCAACATTTTCGATAAGTTGAACTATAGTTTGTTTATGTTGTTTTTACACATTTGAAATCATCAACCAGTCATTGTTAGACCAGTATTAGAACCCCGGAAGCCTTGGACGGTCGTTTCATCCTGGTATGGGACTCATCAGCAGTGCGCATCCACGACTCCTGCACCCCGCAGGATTCGAACCGGGACCTACGGTATTGTGCGCGAACGCCTAACCATCGGACCACTGGACCGGCATCCAATGGTGTTTAATGTCTAACTCTGATTGATCTAGGGATTTCGCGCGACCTCAACCATTTGTCTTTGGTAGTTACTGCCTACACCCGACAGGGTTGAACTCTATTGGTCACGTCTTCTCAACTAGAACTCCGAGAATTTCCTCACGAAGCTAGTAACTAGTGAGCATATTTTACGATATTTTCAAGTAGACTTATGGAGTTTGGTGCTTTTACATACTTGAAATCATCAATTATTGTTTTTAGATTGAATTTTATTCAACATCCTCTCATACTTGAGTTACTACTATCAAATACAACTTAGACCTAAACGAGGTTAAAACGCCTATTGATACATCGAAACATATATATGCATAATTCAGTCAGTTGAACACTTTGTTATTATTGTAGCATACATAGAAATGAACTGCGTTACAATTGCTAGTTTTCGTCCAGTATCAAATTCATCAACTGTAACTATTCAGTTCAAACATAAGTCTGATTGGATCAGCGACATTTTCAATGCTGCTACATGATTTCTTTATTTTTCCTTTAAAAATAATTGCCCACCATAACCTATAGGTCATGTAAAGAGCATAAATAACTAAGATTTTACACACATACTATTCAGCTTATTTTCATTCAGCCGAAACAACGTTTCATCGCATATTCCTTAAATTGATGGTTAACTGGTTTACTCGATACTATGAATCACTTATAAGTGAAAAGATCTTACCATCCAAGTCCTAGTAATTAACTCATGATAAACTTATCCATAATGTGTCATACTTTTATATTATCGTCAAGTAACTGATGTTTTTTTTTTTCAGTCATTCAAACTATCCGTAATAATAAATGTTACAGTCTGTGACTAATATCAAATTAATTCATACAGATATTGATTGTTGTAATCTTCACATTGAGGTTTCAGAAGTGTGTTTGGTTATGCATGTGCATCTTGTGCGAATTGCTTTTCTACTGACATTAAATCACAATTATTATGGGTAATAGCTAGGTAATGGAATTCAGTACTCGCTTTTCTTCCTATTCGGGACCATCAACCGGATAAACTTATATTCCAGTGTTGATGTTCAGCTAATTGAAGAAAACGGCTGATGTTTAAAGCGAACAGTGCTGGATTTGATAGCTGTAGTGAATATCAACCTTATAGTAACTGGTGCATTCAGCTGACGATTCAGAAATAAGACGAAATATACGTCATGAATATACTGTTTACCGCTATCCACTTCGGTTTATATTACTATCTAACTGTTTTACCAGTGATTTAAGGGATGGATATTCTAACCAACTAATTCGTTCGGTGCATGTCTTATGAATTATCTTCCAACCAGGCCTGTGTATCTCAATCTGGCGATTAGTAGAATTCATAAAGCATTACTGCCTACCTGTGTAAATAAACAAATAGTGATATAAACTAATAGTTATTTAAATTTTGGTATCGCGAGTTCAGTGGTCATTATCATCAACAATCTACAACTACTGTTCTTGCTGTTTTGCTTTATTCCGATTCGCACAATATCGTGGATCGATTGAAGTTGAATAATAAGACTATTGGCTGCTGGTCCAGTGATCTAGTGATTAGACGTTGACTCGTGAGACCAAAAGTACTGCATTTGTTTCCCATGTGTAGGATTGCGAATGCTCACTGCTGAGGAGTTCCTTACAAGGACGAAACGAGCATCAAGTGCTTTCAGGTTTTCAATAATGATCTAACATTGATTTCAATGAAACTCAACAATCGCCACAATCCTCATACACTAATGAAAATCTTAGTTTGATCTTTATTATCATCTTCCCTGATTTACTCAGAAATTAACACTTCATATCATTGTCAATAATGTGTGTCTGGTTGATGTAACATACATCATAATCAGTTAAGTCAGTATAAAGTAGCATCTCATCGATAGGTTTTCCATCTATCACGTATCAATATATCTTTTTGCTTGATTATTACAACACAAATTGATTGCTCTACATAAATAAATAATAGTGATTATGAACTACAACATATTTCTTATAACTTTACTCTGCATAACTCTTTTTTCATTATATCACTGGAATATTTTTTGAATTGTAGTCTAGTTAATGATTTATTCAAAATAATATTTACATTGTTTTTATGGAATTTTTTTGTAAAGGAAACTCATTTACAACTACGAAATGATTGGTTGAAAGGACAAAGGTGTTTAACTGAACGACTTCAAACTCTTATGAATGAACTTGATGAGATTAAAAAGTTAAGAGCTAACGATGCTGTAGAATTATCTAGATTTCGTACAATTTTAATGCAATTAGATGCCAGTTCAATTATCAATTCATCGAATCATATTAATTTTGATAATTCAGATTATTTGGACAAATCATCAACTGGTACAGAGTTAAATACAAATTTATTATTAAATCAAAAAAGTGTGAATTTCACAAAAACTCACTTGAATGAAACTGACGAAAATCATAGAGATCAAAATGATAGTATTGGTTTATTCGATAATAAATATCATCAGTCAAATCAAATCAAGTCAAAAACTACTAAAACTTCAATGCGCCCCAGACCTGTTCCAACTTATGGAACTGTCAGTAATGTGGATAATTAAAATTCTTGTTGTTGTTGTTGTTGTTGTTGCTATTTGCGATATTTTTTTTAACTATTCGAATAACTTTTAAAAAGCTATTCACTTTAATGACATCCATTAGTAAATAAAACGATTCCCTATACCTATTGTTCTCAAGTTCAAACAGTGAAAAGTGATTCTCTGTACATAAATTTTTTTTCCATTCACCTTTGTTTTTGTATTCATTCCTGTTTGTTCCTAATAATTCGTAATTGCTGCACAAAAAAAAACATACATACATATTTTGATTTTAAACGATTATATAACTTGAAATTTTATCGTAAACTTAAAACACAATGATCATTTTTTTTTTATTTCCTAAAGGTTATTTGTGATTAATTTCATTTAGTTTGAGGAGTTTTTCATTATCCATATCACTTCAACACATTATACTAATAGTCAGTTTTGTTTGACCGTTAATTATTTTTACAATATTGTGTTTTCTCATTCTTATATACTAATTTGATCTATAGTTTACATTGGTTTAGTTTTTCTAGACGAAGCAATTATCTAATGGACAGATTTTGTTTCGTTTTCATACAAAATAATTTCACGCTTTGTATGCAACCTAATTTATCATTGAACATGTATTAATTACGGTAAAGTAATTGAGATTTTTTTTAAATTGAGTAAACATATAAACCAACTGCTCTGTAATCTGTTACTTAAGACAAGTTGCATTAAATTGTAATCGATCGATACACTTTTACGATAAGTGGTGTACTCAAGTTTAAAATTTCAAAGACAATGTTCTACTGAAACTTGATTAAACTGTTTTGAAGTCAGTCTAACCATACAATAATATATATATATAACAACTTTGGATTGAATATATATAACTTTTATGAATCAGGTAGTTAATATTGTATGCACGATTGTGGCTGTCCATTACGAGATGCTGAAACCTGATTATTTGCCGAAAATTCCGCGTGCAAAACATTTATAAACTTGCTTGGAGGATTGAACTAGTTAACTTACAAAAATATTCAAAATCAGTGGTCATTCTGATAGATATTTTCAATATTTAATAGTTTATATCACACATCTATGTTATCCGTAAATTAGTTTGTTATAGAATTTCTGTAGTATTTTAAGTTAGAAAAGGTCTAGCTAGAATAACTTAAATGAATACCTTAATTATGGTTGTTGAAAGTAGTTGACGGTAAACTCTGGACATACGTTTCCTGCCATATGGTAAGGCGTATCTGTAAACGTTAGGGGACTGGTGTTAACTTAGTCACTCGTTTCTATTGTTTGGGGAGTTACTACGAATGCTGCCGGTCATTACACATTTCGCATTGATGTCCCTGTTAACGAATAAATAGAAATATCCTCATTCCAAACACATCATCAGTGAGCTTAAACTGACAAGACTTTTCGAAATGAGAAATAACGATCTATTATTTCGAAGTAGTGGATGTAACACATGAATTATGTTAAGCTTAAAATTCCCAGATCACACCTATATACTACGGTAATGATGAAATCATATCTATTAAGAACAGGAAGTACGCAACCAGGTAAATGATTGATTATCCCATAAATACATGGGGAAATCATGCAAGGTAATGTCATGAAGTATTTCTTGTTTATTGGAAGTCGAGCTAAATTTCAGCCATTCTCAGTAATGGGCGTATCATGAAGTATAACAAAAAAAATCACGCTACTTCATGGTTCTTGAAAAGTGTGGCATCAAGTCTTGACCTTCAGACTCAGAAAAAAGCCAAATATAAGCATCTTTTCCTCGAAGAAGCAAGAATCATTCAATTCCTTTCCGCTCGATTCTTGTCCTTTAAGTACGGTTCCAGGTATTTCTTATGTCTAAAGGATGGTGGTCCACCCACTCGAATGCAGTAATTCTAGTCATTCGGAAGTCACTTTTGAATTTGTAGGTCCCGTAATTTGAATGAGTGAGTTGGGTTTACAGCAGTAGGGTTTCTGGATACTACTGCTACATTACCAAACCGAAGTCCAGGTAATAGCACTGGGAAGAATCATAAGGACGAAATTCTAATGTTAATACGAAGAAAACATTTTCAGAACTATATCAATTAAATAAGGTAATAAACTGATAGTGAAGATTGTGTGAGAGGACAGAAGTATAAGTAAACGAGAGTAAACAGATATACCAGGCGAGGTAGAATAAGTTGATGGTCGGAGAAATGTCTATGATAACAACCAGCAGCAGCTAGTCCATGAGAGAGACTATGATCCGTATGTGAGTACGTTTTGTAAGTCGCTTTTTGAAGCTATCCACTAAATGGGCTGTGGTCATCCACCTTAGAGGGAGCATTACAAGTTGTAAAAATTTTCAATGAGAAACAGTTTGAACAAACCCGGGTGTTCCCTCCTTGATGTGCATTTTTTCGAAAATTTCCTCGAGAGCTGTGGCGGTTATGCTTATGGTAAGTGTTCGAGTTGAGATGTTTCGACGTACTTGATGTGTTGAATGTCGCTTTTAGATCATCGTTGATTCTCCTATAACTAAGTGAGTGTTCGGGTCTGTTTTAGCATGTTTTTTTATTTAACCCTATCATCCAATAAAATCTCTCAGGCGCAAGTTAAGGACGAGTAATTATGTCTCTTCTAAGGGGTGGAGGTGCCTCGACATTGTGAACTCCAAGGTTCGGCCGTACGATTTGAGGATAATTAGGAACTTTCATGGGATGATCGCACACATCACTCTTCCAATAGAGTGAAGAGTTGCGTTTGTTTTGGTTGCATCTCCTACAGTGTTTCATTTGTGTCCGCACAGTCTGTGGTTACTCTACCTTGATGGCGCTCTGAGGAGATATTTGTGAGCGGACTTTCATGGAAGGTTCAAACAGTTTGCTTTATATGGGCTAGAACGTTCTTGACATGACTTTTCTACTCATTGAGTTTTAGGTCGTTATCCACTTTCTCTTTCTTCATCGTCATGAAATGCTTTTCCGAAAACCAAAATATTATTCTCAACCGATTCGATCACTTCGCTCTCGATTCTATTGTTTTCCGTATATTTTTAAGTACTTGTAGTCAAAATTAAGTCTCTTCGCTTTCTATGGACCTGCAAATTCCTGCGTCGTCTGCATGGATTAATACCACTGAGCTGATTTCATCGTATCACTCATGAATAAATATCAGGAAGAGGGGCGAACGTAAGATGGTCCTATGTGAAACTTCTGACGATGAGAATAAACAATTCGTGTGCATCCTACATGTGTTGGTTCGAAACCTCCTGTTCTTTCAGTAGTTTCGGAAGCAAAATGTATGTAGATCAGTTAAGTCCATTTTAACGGCATGTAGTTCTCCATAGACACATTTCAAGAACTCAAGGAACATTACATGAACCGTATTTTTGGTCTCAAAGGGTTGTTCAGCTGCTATGGAAAGATTGAATACGTACGACCTGCCTTTCCAAAACCCATGCTGAGCTTTATGGAGAATGCTGTTCTGATCCATGTACTCCCGAACTCTCTCATTCGTCAGTCCTTCCATCAACATCGACACTATTAGTAGTAATGCTACTGATCTGTACCAGACAGGACCTATCCCATATTGTCCGATGAAGGTTGGAAAGAGAAAAGCTTGTTTCTGTCCTAAAGGATTTTCGGGTGACTCCAGTGAGAGCCTGGGCCTGTCACATACCGGATAAAAGAGGGCTTCAGCACAATCTTTCAAGTATATAGATCGAATATTGCCACATGTTGATGACTTGTATGGAGTGACGGATTTCAGTTTTCGGAGTAAAATTTCGTGAGTTAGTTAGATGTTCGTCTGGTATTAGAGCTAAATAGTGATCTGTGCTTGTGGGTATCTGGTTTATTTGGTTAATGAAGTTAGCATTTAAGATCCCAATCCTCTCCATTTGAACCTGTGGTTGCACAAACACTGCATTTTGTTGGTTTCCTCCTAATAATGAATAAATTTGGACATTTTGTAACTGACAAGAAGCTTATGAATACATATTGGTTTATACATTGGACTTTGGACGTAGCAACGACCCTGCACATTTATGATCAACTGACTCTACGAATCATAAACTTAGCATGAATAGATTTTCGTCTCACTATAAATTAAAGAAGATTACTGTGAAATTATGCTAAATAACAGTGGTTCAAAGTACGGTACTTTTGGACCGGCACCAAGGGTAACTATCTATCTTTACAATATTACATAATATATATTACATAATCTAACTATATGTAATTTAAGTGGCTTTTAACTTTAATATATATGTTTATGTCACATGGAGTCATAACTATAGCCCATGAATGAGTTCATAAAGCGATCCAATCTTCCAAACTTGTTGAAAATTAGATAAATTTTTGGCTACGTTTAAAGAACCTTTCACAGTCAACTTTGGGGGAATTTCGAAAAAAATATAACCAATAACTCCTTATTTCCTCATAATTGTCAGATTTCGGGAACCCTCGGGTTTCGTTGTTTCGGTAGGATTTCATTTTGTTCGGTAATGACCAACGGATGTTGGTCTAGTCATGTATGTATTTCACTGATATTGTTAGATGTTATTTAAAACAGAATGTAGAATAAGTTGTTATGAAACCACAGAACGGAAAGCCTTGAGGAAATCAGCTTGTTTGTGCTTGCTTCAGAAAATGATTTTAAATATTGGAATTCCAATTCTGTCTATCATGGGAAACATTGCGATGTCGCTGAATGTCCGACATATGTATGTTTATTCTTCTCAAGTTTCAATATGTTACCACATACTACAACTCATTGTTAACCACTAGTTTACTGTATGCTATGTTACATCATTGTATGCATGCCTTTTTAGAAAGTCTATAAAACAATGCAGAAGATTCATTTGGCATTTCTGTTTCTAACAAACAACTGTCCAAACTATCTTCAACAATTATTCCAACCTATCAGACCTCGAAAATCGACCGAACAAGACATACTTAATCAAATAATAAATAAATAAATGACACTTCTGAGGAGTGGATTTCCATGTGTTATTTTTCAACCACTCCCTAATCTCTTCTGACTTGCTGTGGGTTCACTCCAGATTTTTTGCCACCAAAAAAGATTAGAACCTATCAATTGGAACTTCACGGGAGGTGACAGAAGTGTGCCTACTCTTATAAATAATTGTATAAATTTGGTTAAAAGATTTAGTATCTGTCCAGACGAATCTTGAAATGTTTCCGTACTCTATCTGACCTTGAAACTATTTTATGGGAACATGTTCTAACATTTTCAGTTACTTTTTAGTATTTAAAATACTCGTTAGTCAGATTCAACCATTGTAATCTTCAGCAGGTTCGTCTACCTGCACATGTCTCAGCTTTTTTGTAATACACTTGCACAGCGAAATTAACACTGATGGTTAAATGTAATGGTTAAAGCCATTTTTTATTATAAATGTATTGATAAAGCTTTTATCTCAAATAGTGAAACACTACTTGCGTTTTTAAATTGTGCTATTTGTTGACTCAATGTCACGTTTTCGAGGCAACTAGTGGATTATATATCTTTCTTGATGCTATGGCTTACTATTCCAGCGGTAAATGGTATCAAGTGTTTTAAAATACTAACCTTCTTGAGGTTCGGTTCTATGTTTCAAAGATAATAAGTTTAGTCACTCAGTAACATAAAGAGCAGATCCAGATTGAGACTGGTTGTTGTCATATTTTGCAGGATTCCACAAATTACCGATTTATGGACTTTATGTGACAGCGAGATAAGGGAATAAAAACTTAGTCTTAGGCTTTCATCAAACATTGTCGGTCTTAAAATAAGACACGCTCATTGTTTTGTATGATTTCAGACAATGTGACACTCATAAAGCCCTCAAATGTACTTCATTTACCACTTATACATTAGCCTAAGGTCATAATATGGTCTTCTTTAGACAAAACTCTGTATTTCTTCCTGAAAATCCAGTCACTCGAAATATTTATCTTCAGCATGGATCATCTCCTTTCAGACACTGGGTAAAATTGAAGTTATATTCAAGCTGTACTTCCCAATACGAAAACTAATCGCTTGATAATTATTATACTGCTTATATCAAAATTTGCCCCCAAAATCATCGATAGGCTAATCTGTCTTGAAACTGACAATCAAACTGATTCTCGCCTGATTATTTACACAATTTCTGTAGTTCACAGAACATTGGCTGGACAATTACTGTTTTTTGTTAAATTGCTAGAAAGTCTAATTAGGCCCAGGAAAACGATGGTCAAATATTTTTTTAATTGATAAAATAACACGTTTGTCCAAAAACTATTTGCCGAGCGAATGTAACTCCCCGAACTCACTTCATATATTAATAAGAAGGTGGAATAAGGGTCTTTGAAGACCTTTCACCATACAAGAAACATACAGACCTGAGTTTTGTTTGCTTACTGTTTTCATATTATACCATAATCAAAATTTCCAAGTGAAAATGAATACATAGTAATAGCTGGATAGTTTGTGAAAAAGAATTCGTTTCCTTTGTTAGAGAAGACTGAACCTCAGCTTTATATCTCCAGCACCGAATGCATACAATATATCAACTTTAAAGCATCAAAACAGGCAAGATTTCAATCGTGCCCCATGTTCAAGAGCGTTTCAAAGTAACATTGCTGTTAAATGCGACCAATATCAACGAAACCAGCATATGCCAGCACCTTGTGATTATCAAGTGAGTAATTATGATGCCTTTTTTTAATAATACAGTTTATTCTAAAACTTATGGTCTATATCTCTCAGTCTAAATGTCCGATACTTGTAACCAACAATTTATTTATCGCGTAACATCTCGTCAGCAATGAAATTCGACCCCCTAAAAGGTATCAAACAGCTAGATAAAAACAAACTGTCATTTAACTGAACCTGATAGGCCTATACCGATAACGTTTCTACAAACAAACTCAATGAACAATAAATATATGAGCGGAATTGAAAAAGTCTCTTGATAAATTACACTTTTTAACTTGTGATCATTCTGCTAAATATTGGTAATAGTATCAACGGTTTGATATCTAGGCAACTACATCAGCAAGAGATTTTCTGTAATACACATTTGCCTACAATATCTGAGGGTTTTTTCAAAGAGTTTGCCTTATACGTGGCTTAAACGCTTCTGATTAACTGTGTACTACAAAATTTCAGAGTGTGACTAAAATATTTAGATGAATAAGCCGAAATCGGTGGGTTAGAGTCGAGTATTTAACGTGCTGACAAACGTCCCCAAATGCTCTGGTACGGCTGAAAGTCGCAAGAATTCACTCTCCTTCTTCAAATGCTCTTATATTACCACGCGCATATGGCCATCGCCAGAGAAGTCTTACCCACTGCCTTCTTGCATCCACAGGTCTGATCTACCAAATTCATTCAACGAAAATGCAATATCCGATGCTTAAACAGGGTTAGTGGTTATGAAAGAAGTTTCACACGCGATAGTTGAAAAACCCTGATTCCAGGTCGATGGGGCATACTGACTTCAGGATCCTGACGAAACGCATGGTGTATGAACACCTATTGTTGGTCACTGGCTACTGTGGGACTGAGTCTCCACTGCCCTGTGGTCCCATGAGAAACCATAGGCTTCTGTTTGGACACCCGAGCAGCGTGCCAGAACACTCTTAAATTCATAATCTGTGTGGTGCATAAATATTTAGTTCCCTCTTTGCATCAATGTTTTTGTGTTTAAATAAATAATTAGAAATCTACCAATCAAAAGGAATTCATAATCTTTGAGAATAGACTGACTCAATTATGATGCTTGGATACTTTGGACAAGAATATCTATTATCATATGGTTTTAAATTCACAATTATTTATCTTCTGTTGTAGTTGATGACAAAAAAAATTAAATTCCTCAGCTGAATGTAGAGAAACGTAAAATATTTGACTTAAAAGTTTAAACGAAAGTTACATTTGAAAAACCGAAAATATATATGGAACAAGAAAATCGTGAGTTGATTAGATATACAATGGAAATTCATACGCATGCTATAAGTTTTTTGCTCTCATAATGGATTACACACAACGTCTCCTTAGGTTTTGAGCAACATTAATTTAATTTTTAAGGACCTAATCAGCATATATGTATCTCTAAGCACAACTCTAGATCAAGTCATGAAATAATAATAATAATCATATTTAAATGATTCAAGTGGAAGTCCTTGGTAGTTGAATGATACTTCTTGCATGAAAAATAGCAGTTTCAAGAGCAAAATATGGGGCAAAATGTAATCTGCTGACTGGTATCTCTAATTATGGAACAATACTATGTTTAATCAACTCGATTTTAGTGCTTTCACAGCCAAATGTCACTGTAGTTAAGACTGAATAACAGACAGAATGACAAACGTGTCGTGAAGCCCTAAACCATTTCAATAGATTGAAGCTTCAATCATTGTACATTAACAAACTCATTAGACAAATTAGAATCGATGCATTTCTGCAGAGTACTATGAAAGTGACTTCTATGCTCTTTGATGGAGAATTTCACATTCTCTTTGGGTCATTGTGAAGGACGAATTCAAAAAATAATTATCATTCTAAGTAAACCATTTTTTGGTTTTACTGTTAGTGATGTTAGTTTATGGTTATATGGTACGTTATTAAGAAGGAGCGGATCGACAAAGCAAGGGCTGCATTTTTACAATTGAACAACATCTGGAACTCAAAACAACTATCAACCAACACCAAAATCAGAAGTTTCGATGCAAATGTCAAGACAGTTCTACTGTAAAGGAGGAAATTTGAAGAACTACGAAAGCTATCATTCCGAAGATACACGTGTTTATTAACGGCTGTCAACGTAAATTAATTCGGATTCGCTGACCAGACACCATCATCAATACCCTAGTGTAGCGGAAAACTAACGGGATTCCTCCATTTGAGGATGAAATCAAGAAAACTTGTTGGAGATGGTTAGGATACAGATTGAGGAAAGCATCAAAGACAAGCCCTCACTTGGATTCCTCAAGGCCATAGGAGAAAAGGAAGACCAAATAACACATTACTCCGAGAATTGGAAGCAGACATGAAAAGAATGAACAACAATAAATAGAATTGGAGAGGAAGATCCATGACATGACAGAGTAGGTTGGAGAATGCTCGTCGGCGGCCTATGCTTCATTAGGGAAAACAGGCTTATGTAGGTAAGTAAGTAAGGTATGCTATTAAATTCTCTTCAACAGATATAAATAGCTAGTGAATAAAGATTTCAGTAATCGAGTTACCAATAACTTAGGGTTTTCAATGGTTAAATTCATAATAGATGCTTTTATTGTCTATGTTGAACCGTTCATACTCATTTTAAAATCTTAATTTCCATCATTTATCATTTTTGTACATCGGTGTTTTATTTTATAACTGGAGATTTTAATAATGTTCTTCTTGTACTAAAAGTAAAAAAAGAAATGAATAAATCTTCATAATCATACACCTCTATGCTGTCATTACTATGTCGATCATTATTTACAAGTATTTCATCAAGAAAAGCTGTCAAAAAGGCTTGCAAAATCAATGGTAGATCAGAAAATTCTAAAATGACGCTAAAATATTTCAGCAATTTTCAGGTTAGGCCAACAACTGTTCTTAGTCATACCACTACTCAGACCATGAAGCACTCGTAAGGTGTTTCGTCTCAATGTAGAATTACTCAGCTGTGTATATCCTCGATTCTGTAATTATTAATCGAACCCACGGTACACAGTCTCGCGTAAAGTTGCCGAAAATCTAGACAGCGAGGCCGGTGGTATCCAATAGTATACATTTCTAAAATCAATCACGCTAAGATATTTGTCAATTTAATGAATATGAAAAATAAATTTTAAGTGGAGCATGGTGATAATAGCAAATAATTAGAAAACAGCAAAAAAAGTTATGGCAATTCATTTGTTGAATATGAAAAACTAATTATTGAGACCACCTTAAAATGAAAGACTGCACATGTCGTGTTTGTGTACAAACTTCTGGTTTGGGAAGATGAATTACCAGTGCCTTAGCAGTGCGTAAGTAAGTGGAAAGTACACTCTTCAGACTCAATCGTTTGACAGTGTAGATGATTTTCAAAGATTGACTTTGATTCATCTGATAAAGTAGTTGAACGCACACACATTTATGTAAAGTTTACTCTTTATTGACTTGCCGTGTTCATGTAGGCACAAAAATAATTATTCATTTTAGTGTCATCTGAAAATCAAGATCAAGTTGGAAATGAAATCTATTTATAAATTGGTTTAAATTTATAAATATTAGTAGAAAGAGACAACTAAATATTTATGCACCACAAAAATTATTGGATTTAAAAGTGGGGAATCGGAGAAACACAGTGGGATCCAGTCCCACAGTAGCCAGTGACCAACAATAGGTGTTCATACACCATGCGTTTCGTCAGGATCCTGAAGTCAGTATGCCCCACTAACTTGGAATCAGGGTTTTTCAACTATCGCGTGTCAAACTTCTTTCATAACCACTAACCCTGTTTAAGCATCGGATATTCCATTTTCGTTGAATGAATTAGGTAGATCAGACCCGTGGATGCAAGAAGGCATTGGGTAAGACTTCTCTGGCGATGGCCATATGCGCGTGGTCATATAAGAGCATCTGAACAGGGAGAGTGGACACTCCTCGTTAGGACATTTGGAGTCAGAATTAATTTTAGCCTTATTATTTCTTTTTGATAAACTGTTATTTGAACAAGTTATAACGTCCATTTTTATATGACATTGTTTATGGATACTCAAATAAACGAATTATTAGTCATTGTCCTCGTAAAGGCTTATTTACAATCCAATATCTATTTAATCATGTAAAATTTGATATATTTTGAGTATATCTGTATATATCCATTAATTTTGATAGAAAATAGAAACGAAATGTAAATCCAGAGCCAGTATGGCTGCATTCAAATCATCTAGTGAAAGACGATTTGATTTTTCGCAATCAGCAACCTGTACTCCAGGACCAGGTAAATGAAAGTATATGTCAAATGAATTGTCCCAAGTTTTGAAATAACTGTGCAGATACTAATATAGTTTTATGTTAAAGACTGATCCCAGCTAGATAGATATCTATAATTAGAAAGCTTTGGACTGCCGTTGTAATGAACGACGACAAGACACAGTTTACTGGCTAAAATATGTTCAGCTCATCTTCATAGATCCATTTGCAAAACAAGCACATTCTTGGCTGTCTTCTACCATACGTCTTCTATTTTTCAAAAAATACTTTCTGATATGACACTTCTCTTTGTCAGTAACTTCAGGATGACGCTACGCCACGTACCCAATGCATACTACTTATAAGCTTCGTTGTGAGTAGCACATACTTCACTCGTCCCTCCGTCATAACTATCAAGTCTCCAGGCTCACCGACCTCCGTAGTCCCCAAACTGGGAAAAAACTCCCCTACTAGCTCGGAATCCAGAAAGTCTAACATCGCCTTTCTATTGACAGAGATCGCTACGCTAGACGTCACACTATTGCAACCACATCTATCAGCCCTCCCCTGACCCGTTGGCAGCGACACCAAATGTAATGAATGACGACGGTAAGACCAATTCAGTTTTGGAATAACTAAGAAGTCGGAGAAGTTTTGTCATGGTTTTAAACAAGGTTTAACTCAGTGAAAACAATATGTTCGTATTATTAAACCTAAAGGTGTCTATTGTCTTCTTACTACTAGTTTACAAGTATATTCCTTAAGGGTCTGTTGAAGAAAATTAGAGACGTCACATAATCTACACTGGACCAAAACTGGGTAGTTGGATATGTTTTTGAAAGACTGTTGGTCTATTTAAGAAAAACAGAAAGTAAACAACTAAGGATACTGTTATTCTCAGTGGTAGCCCATTAATTTTTGGAGAAGTGAGTAACATGTGAGACTGAGATTCTTAAACTTAGGTGCAAGATTCATCCTAATAACTTTTCGGCATAATTGGTGGTCATTTAGCGATGAAAACCCTGGTACTAGGCCACTTTAACTTCACCTAAAGGTCGACCATATATTACATTAGGTAAACGTTTTAGCTTCTTGCTAACTTCATCTTAACCATTATTTGTTGACAACACTTTACCTTGTCACGGCGTGCATATCATTTACACAAATAGATATACAGTGAAGAAATTAAAATAAATGATACTGGATTTTAAACTAAAATTCAAACATCACTAAGTCAGAAACTGTGTTTTAGGAGATCCGTCTAGATCGCATACTTCTTAAAAATGTCCTTGAGCAAACCTCATTGTCATTACAGCTAAAGTGAAAGCAATGTGTGAAGTATTCTTGCTATAGTTTAGTCCAGCGAACAGGTACACATAAATAAAAGCGACGAATGATTTACAAGGTCAAATGACACGTCATGTGAGCTTGTAGTGTGTCGATTTACTGCGTGTTCTTAAGCTCAGCAATTAACTCGTCCAGACAATCGCTGCCAAATAGCGTCTGACAGTTTATAAATCAGAAGATCAACACAAAGTGATGAACACGTTTATTCGGGACACACCACAAAGCGAAGCGGAGAGGCAGCGAATAAAACGAATGAAGCGACGTGAACTGGAGAAGGCTTCTGAGCCAACTCTTTGGATTACAATGCGAGCGAATGGGCAAAAGAAGTGATGTGGAGAAGGCTAGTGAGCCAACTCAAAGAGATAGAGCATGACTAAGAATATATAGTCAGACGAAAATAGGACAGACATATGACAAGCGAAATAGGCATGCACAGACATGAATAAAAGCCATGAATGACTGACAAGGTCAAAAGCAAGCGAGACAAGTCATGTGAGTTCACAGGGGTATTAAGAGATTAACATTAAAGCGAAAAGGGAGTCAGCGGGTAGGCGTAAGCAATGCTCAGTCGTACAAGCTCATACAAACCAGACAATAAAAAATACCAATGGTACATATGGGTTGTTGCTATACAAATAGCTTGGTTACATAAGTTAAACGAAAGGCGTGATCAAATTAAATATGAGCGACTCAAGTTTATGTGGAGGCACGACAAGCTCATACAAACCAGACAATAATGAGGACGAATGGTACATGTAAGTTGTTGCCACGCGAATGGCTTGGTTAAATATATTAATCGAAAGGGCTTAACCAAGTTAAATGTAAGCGAACTGGAATATATGTGGAGGCACTACAAAACTACTTATCACTGGTAAGTATTATGATGCAATACGCAAATATGGCACAGAACCATGGGACGAAATTAGGAATTAATTAACAGGTCTGACAACGCCGAAATGAAGAGAACGTCAATATTCTCCAGTAGGAATTCAGTTTAAAGGCATGTTAAGTCTTGAATATTGTTGCTACAGTGGGGAGTAATCAGGTCACTCAGATAGTAAAGACAGGTTCACTCTAAAATCTATATTATTAACCACTATCTTCTCGCCATAACTCTAATTCTAAGTTTTAATACATGCGGATAACTTGTATGTAGTTTGAACAAATTGTTTTGTTCCCGTGACCTGATTCTCAATCATGAACCATAGTATCTGCTTATCCAGTGATCTATGCTACTGGTCTAATTACCCAATACGATGCTCCAGTGCATCCAGTCTACTACCTAAAATATCGATCAAGTGCCCGGTCTTCCAATCCAGTCTGCTTACCAGAAAAAAGATAGAAGTAATTCAGTAATGAACAGTACTTCCTAGTCAGGTTAATCGGTTTATCGCTTTTGCAAGTTATAAACACATCAAATTATGGCCTAACAACTAGTTCAATTTTTTTCAAACTTATTGATAGACCAGAACATTTTAATCGATGTGTCGATCACTATACTATTCTGGATGTTTAATTAATAGTTGGTTAGTAAATCAGTTCCTTTCCACGGTCTTAGCTACAAGTCATAACCTTGACAGATCAAACAGTTTAAAAACATGATACTATTATTATCGTAATACGTATCAGAACCAACCACCTTTAACTCGCCTTTACAGTTAGGATGAAGGAAATCAATCCACTTTTTTAGGAATAAAAATTAGTACCTATCTCGAAATATTTACGTGATTTGGAAACCAATATATTTCGTACTTTATAGTGTATTAAGGGGCACTGCTGCCAATCAATCTCATTAGTTTATTATGCAATTTCAAATGTTATGTACTTTCAAATCACCATTCAACCTAAACACTTAAAGAATCTACAATTCATCTTTCTTACTATTTAGGACATTATGATATTGATGCGAAACAGAATAGATCTAACTTGCCCCATTCGGCTTTTGCATCTAAAAGTGAACGTACTGTACTGGGAACTACATCAGAAGTAAGGAACCTAATATTATAAATATTTGATTATACATATATGCCTCATATATCTTTCCTTCTCTTTTCATAAATTTAGTATCCTGGACCAGGAGCATACGATTTGGTCAAGTATCCTAATGATCCAACTTTAAGAACAACCAAATTACCTCTAACAAAGTAAGCTACATATCATAGTCAAGTACTGCATCATTTGGTTCGAAAGATACCAAGTCAAGTTCGCGTTAGAGTTTACCCACAACTCAACTGTTCTGTCTGTGTAATCGTGTAGATCGTGGTCTTGTTGATTTGAAGCATTTTTCATTTATTGAAACTAAATCAACAAATTCCTGACTATATTATCGATAGGGGAGACTACTGCTGACAGTAGTACACTAATCGTTCGTTGCAGCGGTAGCCAGTTTCTTAATTTAATGATAAGTGACTGAATAAAGTTAGGAAATTTATCAGTTTAGTTTGTTGTGTGATTGAATGGAATTTTCAAAACGGGGCTGACGTAGGAAAAGCTTTATGTCCTATGATCTATTCTCAGAAATCCTTAATAAAAAACAACCACTCTGAGTATAAATTTATTCTATTAGGAGTAACTAGTTTGAGACACGGTTTTTTTCGATCAATCATATTAAAATATCTCAAGCGAATTTACTTAGAGTATAAGATATTTGGAATTTACTTGTTTCATCGATTATCCAGTTAATATATTTAGTTCCTGAAATAAGATAAATAAATTATCTTTCTCCATGACTGTAATACTACTACTAACTCTACCAATATGGGATTTGAACTGACGATCCCATCTCCCTACCCTAATTGTGATATGACAACTTAAGCTGATGCACGTACGTATCAGGTTCTACACTGTCATTGGCTGACTGTGTGACCTCTATATTTTTAAACTGATCGGTATTTATTAATTGATTTTAGCTCATATTTTTGCATATTTATTCTGTACAGTGAATACATTCATAAAACAGCTTGACTTGATCTATGTATTTATTTTTGACTGGACTTTTCTTTCAAACGTACTACTCCCAGTTGTGTACAGAAATAAACTTACACATACATTTTGTAATATATTCATGCAAACATTATTTATGTGGCAGGGTAACTTGGACAAACGCTCAATATTTCATTGCTACAATAGAAGGCTAAGAACTTAAAAGTAGTATCTAGTAAGATTCAAACGATCGCTAAAATCCACCTTCAACTTATTATCATTTTTGTACGCTATCTAGATTTATCAATTAAATTAATTCTAGATTAAAATAACTGTTGTACGATTATTCTTTTGCAATTTCAATTAGATCTGCTTCAACGACAAATTTAAAAACTTTATCTAGAGATCAGGAAAATTATCCTGGTCCTGGAACATATAATATCACTACTAATGAACTAGCACCAAAACATTTTATGTCTAGTTCAGTTTTCCTATCGAATGTACCACGCTGGATAATGCCAAATATTCCAGTTGCTCTGGGTATCGGTGATATGGTTGCAAGTAATTCTTCACGTACATGTGCTGGTGGAATTGATGCTTTAAATAATCCAGGACCAACAAAATACAATCCATGTCTACCACGTAAACTGTCATTTCATTATAATCTGAACAATGAGTGGGTGTATTGAAGAGATAGATAATAGATTTTTTTTTACAAAACAAACTTATTTCAATTTATTTAGTTGTACGTTATTATTATTATTATTATTATTATTATTATTATTACTATTATTATTATTATTATTCCATGATACATCAGTGAGTAAAGTGAATAGATGTGATACACACCTTATCTAGCTGAACACTAAATAAAGTAGTAACAAGACTATATCAATAGTTATTAGCATAGGAGATAATAGAAGAAGCAAGCACCTTGTTTGTAGGTTCTAAAAGACTGGGGTAATAAATACATGCTGATTGCGCTTTACAACTTGTAGTATCATCATTAGCTAAAGGATAAACCAACTAACCAACTTGAATGCGTAGATATATGCACTTTACGTCGTTGCTTTTCATCGTAGATGTGAAATCCCCAAATACAATTTATGAGGGAAAAAATTAATATTGATTTAAAGTCACCTCTCAGCATATTTTCCTAATATAATGCATTTTTACTATCATTTGTACTCAGTGACAATAAGTTCGTAAATAATGGTCATTGTAAACGATTAACTCAAATACGCTTTTATTCTGTTAAGGTCGTTCACTAGCACCTTCCTCAAAATAGTTTTCTTTAATCCATCGCGCAAGTGGTTATCGTTAGTGTTGAATATTAGTTATCCTGTCCATCTAGCTAGCATAGATCTCGTTCTATATTAGATTAATCGCTTAATTGTAAGTAGTCATCTCAATACATGACACTTCAGAATGCTTAGTTGTGCACTCAAATGTAATATCATTTTCACAAAGTGAATCAGCAATATGATTAACCGCTCATATTCAGCGAGGTAAAGTTGACAGGGAAAAAATGAAGAACGTTATACACGAGTAGGATTCCAGAAACCTCATTAGTGCTACACAGTACGGTCTCGTTAAGTGTTAAGATATTTCTTGCCTGAATTCGAGGGTGTGACTTATTATTTCGTTTGGAAATGGTATTTATGCAAAAGATGCTAATGTGATCATCCGAATGCATATCAATTTTTAGGTGCTACATAAATATTACTAGGAATTAGTTTGACAAAATGACATCCAGCAACCGAAGTTTTCATCAAAAGTAAATAAACAACACTCGCATATAGTTGTTCACACAAACAGTAACGTTCTTACGCGACCGTAGCTGCCACCTTGACAAGGTGATCGCGCTTGCATATCATGATGACCCAACCGAGCTATATTGGCTGAAACATATGTTTCTGTAGGTCCTACCAAGCCACGCAGGTAGACTAAAGAACGGTAAGACTAAAAGCTAAACTGTGATTAGCGAGTAAGCATGCACACACAATCAAATATACAATAATCGATACTGTAATCGAATTGTTACAAGTTTAAAAAATGGTTCGATACTATTAATGAATAATTTAAACGACTAATTATTGGAGTAAAATCAATGGATTGTCAGATGCTACAATGTGAAGTATTGAAACTTCATCAGTTTAGGTTTTTGGGACATGTGTTACGAATGCCCAACCACCAACTGACTAGATGAGAGTTACGTTTTGTAGTGCAACAGTAGACAGGAAGAATGCTAGTGGCGAACTGACCAAATCACGACACAAACCTATGAAGTCACTGACATCCAAACTGAGCCATATTAGCAGGTGAAAACGACGTGGTCAAGGTCCGCGAGACGATAGTAAACGACGATTAGAAACCTTGAATGACATGGATCATGTGCAGATGCCTCCACTCTTCGTCTTCTCTCAAATTATAAACTTCCGAATTCCTCACCACCTCTATCTCTCTTTTTCCCAATTTATTTCACTGGATTTTACTTCGTTTATAATGGCTTTGAACCTGAGTCACCTCTATTTCCGCCAATATTTCTGTGATAGTGTGGTATGGCAAATTGCACTGCTGTTTGTACGTACGCAGTTACCTGTTGCAGCTGGCTGGCTGACTGAATGACTGATGTTCTAAGCCAGTTAACTTGATTAAAAATCTCACATTACACACCCAATTAATATAAAACAATATTTATGGCTAGTCGACTACTTAGAGCTTGTAAAACTATCAGGTTATATTATTCTTATTACAACACAAATCTATATATCGATTTTCTCTCAAACAAAATGAAAACAGTATGCACTAAAAATGGATACGTTTTATTAATAAAATTCCATGAGAATAAAATGAGTGAGATATATGCAAACAGCTATATCAAAACAAATACTGCTTCGGGTTTCATCAATCAAGGTGTCTGATTCTCTGCAACGATACTCTACACAGGAAATGCTTGTACACCCTGACGAGCAACACAATTTAACAAAACAAGAAATAGACAACAATAAATATAGAACAAAAATATCGAAAAACGTGTAAAATCTCATGGGGATTCAGTTCCATCGTCAAAATCACTATCACCTAGAGGTACATTATAAATCCTACCTCCTGCACGGCTTACAGGTGTTTGTAAAATATCAAGATATACATACGATTTATTTCTCACTTCTTCAGTTGCTTTCGTTTTAACACCATTCTTCCCATACAATTCCCATGTACTCTTATCAAGTGGAACATAAACTATCCCTGTTAAATTTCGTTTCCCATTGGTTCTGTTTCCAACTTTGTATGTTTTAATAATCAATTTCTTCGAATCTATATTACTTCCGAAATAAACAACTGATGAGCAAATGAGAACATCACAGCTCTTCGTCTCAACACATACATGATTTCTTTTTCGAGGTAATTCAATACCCAACAATTCCTTTGAATAGTATGTTTCACATGGACATTGACGATTCCGAGTACACGGTATGTTAATCCACATACATTTACGTTGCGTTACATCCAAATTAATGTCACTAGTGTTCCAATGAAGATCTGTCTCACTCACCATCCATTTTGACCAAGAAGCCCGACATTTCCTGTAAACTTTGCGTGCTTCACCTGAATCTGATATTGTAGTAAAATAAAATATACAGAATATGAGATAAATATTAACAAATGATTTGGCAAACACTGCCATCTATCACATGTGCTGTGGGAAATCTATTGATTACCCTGCTACAGGGAAATATTATATCTACAAACCATTCGCAAATTCTTCACTCATTTGTTGTTGTCTCAGTTGCTGATTTACGGACATGCAGAGTAGCCAATAGGAAGTTAGTTTAGCAACGATCAAACATAACTAACTAGCCAACGGTTGGTCGTTAAGACGCGGAGGAAGAAGAGACTATGTAGACATATTGAATTGGACTGATCCAGACAAATAAATGTTAACAGTGTTTCAGGTAGATGAATGACTCAGTCAGATGCGAGATTCTCGTCTAACTTATGTCCTTGAGGCAGCACGTGATTTGACTTTGTTGCTTACCGCACCCATTTAGCAATTCTTCAACTGAATAATTTTACATATTTGGCTTACCTACAAATAGGTGAAATCCGATGCGTGTGATTATTTATCTGCAATGGTCACCATTGCATTTGTGTGATTGTAAATTACTTTTTTACTGTTGTATTTAGTAAAGCAAACGTAAGTTACAATATAATACTTAAACGTATAAATAGGATCGAGGAGAGTTGCAGTGAAACTGAAATGACTCCTGCATTATTATGAGCCTAGTCATCTGGAAGATATTGAAATAGTACTTTAAACTAGTTTAAATAAGCATGTGTTAAGTGTTTTTATGTGTAAAGAGATCTGTTTTAACGGTGATAATAAGTGATGATGGAGTTTGCATAAACGCTTAATTATAATCTGATGTTGAATAATAGGAATTGCAACGAATCTGTTCAATAAGTTTCGCTTATTAAAATCTAATTAGTCTTAAATGAGAACCTTAGTCGTTTGAGTTTTAGTAGTGAATGGGATGAAAGTTAATTGGATTTTGCGACGGACCATAATAAACAATGCTTTCGGGTATACACCTAATATGTTTAAAGACTTTGAATGACATAGCTCAAAATGGTTTGCAATGGTGTAGGTGCATTCGTTTTTTATGTTCTTTCAAATTCTAATCTTCTGAATTCTCCATGACCTTTCTGTTTTTTAATTTATTTTACTGCGACATACTTCTCAAATCATATATCCGATTACTAATGTTTTCGATAACCGCAAATGATTCTATTACCTCTACTATTGTTGTATTTGAATCGACAGTTCCATCGCGCATGGAGAGTGTTTTGCGTCGACTTGTACTGATGTACGTACATACCATATTCTACGTTGTAACTGACTGAGACAGTATAGAATATCTCATGATACATTCGTTTATTTAAGAATGACACATGCTGTTCTTACCTAAGATGTACTCAACGTAAAATTCACTAGACATTTGTTATATGTTTTCTGAACACACTAAATTCGGGATTCGGGAACTACTGAATTCTACAATATTGTTTTGAGATTCGTTTGAGAAAATTATTCTATCTATTCTTAAGTAAATGTTATCAAAGTTGTGTGTAGATTCAATTTGAGTCAACCATAAATTTAGATTATCCGAGTAAGCTATTTGTTTCATATGGGATAATTAATTTCCGAGTAGAAAAACTCAATGTTCTTCTGGACCTCAGGACCTTCGATCTTGCCCTGTAGTCCAAAGGTTAGGCGTTCTCGAGCAAATCCTAGGTCCTGTGTTTGAGTCCCGCGAGCGGCAAGGGCCGTGCATGCGCACTGCTAATGAGTAGTCCTATACCAGGACGAGACGATGGTCCTACATTTCGAGGTTTCAAACGGTAGTCTAAAAACGACTGATAGACGATTCCAAAATTAACAGAATACTTTAATTAGAAGTCAATGTAATGATTGCTATGTTAGAGTACAGAGATGAATCTAAAAGTTCTGTAATGATACAAAAGTGAAATTTGAAAACTTTTTGAGGAAGCAGTTTGAATCAGAGTTCCATCGTAACTCACTTTTGTAAGATCTATATCTGTGATAAAAGTATTGCCTGACTAAATATCAACCAACATTATATAGGATTTGAAATGGTTTGGATTATCACACTGTTGATATTTTAACTGA